TCATTCTCAAATCTTCCTTTTCGTTAGCTCATAGAATAGAATCATAGAATCATAGAGTTGGAAGAGACCACAAGGGCCATCGCGTCCAACCCCCTGCCAAGCAGGAAACACCATCAGAGCACTCCTGACATATGGTTGTCAAGCCTCTGCTTAAAGACCTCCAAAGAAGGAGACTCCACCACACTCCTTGGCAGCAAATTCCACTGTCAAACAGCTCTTACTGTCAGGAAGTTCTTCCTAATGTTTAGGTGGAATCTTCTTTCTTGTAGTTTGGATCCATTGCTCCGTGTCCGCTTCTCTGGAGCAGCAGAAAACAACCTTTCTCCCTCCTCTATGTGACATCCTTTTCTATATTTGAACATGGCTATCATATCACCCCTTAACCTCCTCTTCTCCAGGCGAAACATGCCCAGCTCCCTTAGCCGTTCCTCATAAGGCATCGTTTCCAGGCCTTTGACCATTTTGGTTGCCCTCCTCTGGACACGTTCCAGTTTGTCAGTGTCCTTCTTGAACTGTGGTGCCCAGAACTGGACACAGTACTCCAGGTGAGGTCTGACCAGAGCAGAATACAGTGGCACTATTACTTCCCTTGATCTAGATGCTATACTCCTATTGATGCAGCCCAGAATTGCATTGGCTTTTTTAGCTGCCGCGTCACACTGTTGGCTCATGTCAAGTTTGTGGTCAACCAAGACTCCTAGATCCTTTTCACATGTACTGCTCTCAAGCCAGGTGTCCCCATCTTGTATTTGTGCCTCTCATTTTTTTGCCCAAGTGCAATACTTTACATTTCTCCCTGTTAAAATTCATCTTGTTTGTTTTGGCCCAGTTCTCTAATCTGTCAAGGTCGTTTTGAAGTGTGATCCTGTCCTCTGGGGTGTTAGCCACCCCTCCCAATTTGGTGTCATCTGCAAATTTGATCAGGATGCCCTTGAGTCCATCATCCAAGTCGTTGATAAAGATGTTGAATAAGACCGGGCCCAAGACAGAACCCTGTGGCACCCCACTAGGTCAAACGCAGGATTTTCCCAATGAGCAGCACAGGGTGTCCAGTGAGATTCCTCCGATCTTGTTTAATTTTATTCTCAACCCCAAAAGCACTTTCTTATTCTAGTAATAATTATTCACAGTATAAATACCGTATTTTTCGCTCCATAAGACGCACCTAGTTTTTAGAGGAGGAAAACAAGAAAAAAAATATTCTGAACAAAACAGTGGATGTATGATTTTTGTGGTTCATGTTGTGGCCACAGACATGATATGTGGTTTGACGGTGAGTTTGGGGTAGCCCAATGCAAAAATCCTGAGGATCCACATGGATCCAGGCTTTGTAACCACGTTTTTGCGCCATTGCGGCCCCATGAAACAGTGGATGCGTGGGGTTTTTTTGGTGCAGGCTGTAGCCATGGGCATGCTATGTGATCTGATGGTGAATTTGGGGTGACCCAGTGCAAAAATCCTGAGGATCCATGGGCTTTTACCTCCCCGCTCCCAGGCAGCCTCCTTTATCGCTAGTCTCCCTTATCTCCCTCCCGATCGCTTGCCAATCAGCTGCTCAGCGGCTTTGTTTCAACACCCACTTCCCTCTTTCTAAAAAAAAAAAAAAAGCATGATCTTCTTTTCGCCCCTAGGCAATTTGGCTCCAGGGACCACACATTTGCTCCATAGATGCACAGACATTTCCCCTTATTTTTTAGGAAGGAAAAAGGTGCGTCTTATGGAGTGAAAAATACGGTAATTGCCACTGACATTTTGGCCTTTTTCCTTTCATTTTTTCTTTTCTTTTTCCAATTTCGTTTTGACAAAGTAATAATCACAAATAGATAAGAATAAAAATGTGCACCCTACCCTCGAGACCGTTTCACTGTAACTATCCAGCCTCCCAAAATTTCAACACCTCTGGCGATGGTTTCACCACTTTCTAACCGTACAAATTCTACAAACAACTTCCTTATCTCCTCCAAATCATTTCTCCTGCGTATTCCCCATCTTAACCTTAATGGAACATGGTGATTTAGCACTAATAGCTATATTGTACGCCTCTTTATACCATTCTTCCAATTTATATTCTGCTTGCCCCTTCCTAGCTACAATATGATGATAATAATACAATGCAATAATGATGATCATGTGCAGTATTCCAGTGTGCCTCTGAGCATGCGCCGACTGCCTAGGCTTCTCAGCTTCCTGCTGTCCAATAGCAGAGGGGCTGGTTGCTGCTCCCCACCCCCCTCCCTGAAAAACCCCATACATACCTGGCTAGCTTTCGCATTGACATTCCCCATGCTGAAAAGTCTCCGGACAACGGCCATTTCCTCTTCCTGCTGTACAGTTGCTAGTGCAGTTAACATCAGAGCTGTGTAGCCAGCTTTGTTCTGGTAGTTAACATTACAGATCCCTGGGGAGACGAGGAGAAAAAATGCAAGAAACTGATGCAAGTACTCTACTCATGGCTGTCTAAGTCCGGCTCGGGGACGGTCCGGGAATCAGAGATGCATTTTAAATAAAAGCACACATTCTACTCATGTAAGAACACCAGGCAGGCCCCACAAATAACACAGAGATGCGTTTTAAATAAAAGGACACATTCTGCTCATGTAAAAACATGCTGATTCCCGGACCGTCCGCGGGCCAGATTTAGAAGGGGATTAGGCCGCATTCGGCCCCTGGGCCTCAGGTTGCCTACCCCTAGGTAAAGGTAAAGGGACCCCTGACCATTAGGTCCAGTCGTGACCGACTCTAGAGTTGCGGCGCTCATCTTGCTTTATTGGCCGAGGGAGCCGGCGTACAGCTTCCGGGTCATGTGGCCAGCATGACGAAGCCGCTTCTGGTGAACCAGAGCAGCGCATGGAAACGCCGTTTACCTTCCCGCCGGAGCGGTACCTATTTATCTACTTGCACTTAGATTGCTTTCGAACTGCTAGGTTGGCAGGAGCAGGGACTGAGCAACGGGAGCTCACCCCGTCATGGGGATTCGAACCGCCGACCTTCGGATCAGCAAGTCCTAGGCTCTGTGGTTTAACCCACAGCGCTACCCCTAATGTGATCCACCTGGAGAAGGAACTGGCAATCCACTCCAGTATTTTGCCAATAAAACTCCATGGACATAAAAAAGGAGAAGCTTTGAGAAGAAAGTGAGAATTTCCAAGGCATGCTCTGGTTCATGGGGTCACGGAGAGTCGAGTACGACTAAGGCAACTAAAGAAAAACCCTAGTAAACTTTCACACCCATTCCTTGGGTTGGAGAACGGCGTTGCAGAATTTGGAGATGTGCAAATTCCAGAGTTATGGCTGTATTCCAGTTTGTGTATTGATTTAAGAAGTGTGAAGGCAAAGGCCTTTGGGGACATGATATGCAGTATAATGAAATTAATAAAATTTTCAAAATGACTTTTTCCCCAAGAGGCCAGAATGCTTCCTGCTGGGGACACTAAGCAGCGACCTCACCTGGAGTACTGTGTCCAGTTCTGGGCACCACAGTTCAAGAAGGACACTGACAAACTGGAACGTGTCCAGAGGAGGGCAACCAAAATGGTCAAAGGCCTGGAAACGATGCCTTATGAGGAACGGCTAAGGGAGCTGGGCATGTTTAGCCTGGAGAAGAGGAGGCTAAGGGGTGATATGATAGCCATGTTCAAATATAGAAAAGGATGTCACATAGAGGAGGGAGAAAGGTTGTTTTCTGCTGCTCCAGAGAAGCGGACACGGACAATGGATCCAAACTACAAGAAAGAAGATTCCACCTAAACATTAGGAAGAACTTCCTGACAGTAAGAGCTGTTTGACAGTGGAATTTGCTGCCAAGGAGTGTGGTGGAGTCTCCTTCTTTGGAGGTCTTTAAGCAGAGGCTTGACAACCATATGTCAGGAGTGCTCTGATGGTGTTTCCTGCTTGGCAGGGGGTTGGACTCGATGGCCCTTGTGGTCTCTTCCAATTCTATGATTCTATGAAATGGACGGCATTTATGGATGTGACTACAGCAGCAGGGATTCTCTCTGCTCAGAAATGGGAGGAGAAGAGAACTCACCCTAAAAGGAAGAAGGGTTGGTGAAAATCTTGGAGCATGCAGAGATGGCAGAATTGATGGCACGGATAAAAAGATACAAATTCAGAATCTTTTAAAGAAGGCTGGAAACCCTTTCTAGTGAATGTAAAAAGTTACTGTATTTTTCGCCCTATAGGACGCACTTTCCCCCCTATAGGACACACTTTTCCCCCTCCAAAAATGAAGGGGAAATGTGTGTGCGTCCTATGGGGCGAATGCAGGCTTCAGGAAGCTATCCGCAAGCCTTGGGAGCCAGCAGAAGTTCCCGCCGGGCTCCCACGGCTTTCAGAGAGCTGCCTGCATCCCGAAGCCTGGGGCGCACTGAGCTCAGCGCGCCCCAGGCTTCGGGCTTCGCACAGCTCTGCACAAGCCGTGGGAGCCCAGCATGACTTCGTGCTGGGCTCCCACGGCTTGCGGAGAGCTGCCTGCATCCCTGCGGATACCAGCTTGTTCTGGGGGCTGGGGTCGGGGGAAGCTCGGGCTTCCCCCGCCCCAGCCCCGCGCCTGGGGAAAAATAAATTTTTTTTCTTTATCCCCCCCCCAAAAAATAGGTGCGCCCTATGGGCCGGTGTGCCCTATGGGGCGAAAAATACGGTATTTCCTATAAATGTGAAGACCGCAGTAGGGTTAGAAGTGTAAGAAAGCAGCAGAATAAATTAAGAAATACATTAAGGTAAAGGTAAAGGACCCCTGACCATTAGGTCCAGTTGCGGCCGACTCTGGGGTTGCGGCGCTCATCTCGCTTTATTGGCCGAGGGAGCCGGTGTACAGCTTCCGGGTCATGTGGCCAGCATGACTAAGCCGCTTCTGGCGAAACCAGAGCAGCACACGGAAACGCCGTTTACCTTCCCGCCGGAGTGGTACCTATTTATCTACTTGCACTTGACGTGCTTTTGAACTGCTAGGTTGGCAGGAGCAGGGACCGAGCAACAGGAGCTCACCCCGTCACGGAAATTCGAACCGCCGACCTTCTGATTGGCAAGTCCTAGGCTCTGTGGCTTAACCCACAGCGTCCCAAGAAACACATTAGAGAGGATGAAATTAGATAAGATTGGATTGTTTTTATTTCTTTTTTTTTATTACTAGGATTGTTTTATAAAATTGATGAATGTTAGAAAAATGTTGGAACGAAATTACTTGGCGTTAGCAAAAATGTTTAAAGACTTATGTAAGAATATTATGGTTATGAGAAGTTGGTAAAAATAAGATTTAAGTTTTAAGTTTTAAGGTTCTTTATAAGATAAGATGAAAATAGATTAAGGTAATGTAATGACAGAATATTATGAAATATGGAAAGGATTTGCTGCGACAATTAACAACTAGGATACAAAAAAAGGGAGGAGGAGGAGGTCAAAGAAAGAAGGTAATGAAAGTTGAGGATTCGAGAATGATGGATTTGTTTTTGTGTGTTTGTGGTGTATTTTTGTTTTTTGAATTTGTATTGTTTGATGTGGTTTGTTTTTTCTTTTTCTTTTTCTGCTTTGTTCTCTTTTGTAACTCTAAAGATTTGTCAATAAATATCATTAAAAAAAAAAAGAAATTAGATAAGATGGAGCGATTGCATGTAATTTGAATTGTGAACATCGATGCTGGGTAAGTGGGAAGTCACACTAGTTTTGTTGAATAACAAATGCAACTTTTATAGAGAAACTCTCTCTCTCTAGATATATATAATTACAAAAATGAGGTCTGAATTAGACTAATTCTCCTTTAAACGCAAACGGAACAGGATTTCTCCTCCATTCCTGGCTGCAGGAGGACTACGTTGGCGACCCCTGACCTTAGGGCCACTCACCTGTGTCCAGCAAAAGCTGGACGATGTCGAGTTGGACTGCGAGACGCTGTAGTGAAGAGCGGTGTTGCCATTGCCGTCGGAGAGGTTGACGACGTGCGTCAGTAACGCGGGGGAGATTTCGGCAAACGCCATCAGGTGCTGGGCCACCTCTCCGGCCAGAGAGGCCTTTTGGCTGGACAGCCGGAACCATTCCTGGAGGAGGAGGCCGGAGCTGGAAAGCTGGAAGCCAAAACAGAGAAGCGGTTTCGATCCCTTTCCCCCCCCCAAAATCCTCGCTGCAACCCTGCGAGGTAGACTAGGCCCAGCAAGACTTGCATTTGAGCACGGATCTGGATCCCCATCTTGGCTGGACACTTGTGTGGGGTTCTGGGAGTGCGCACTGCTATAAGTGGCCCCGATCCTTGAAAAATACAAGTGGAAAAGGCCCTCCCTTCCAATATTATTATTATTATTATTATTATTATTATTATTACCCTGACCATCTGGATGGGTTTCCCCAGCCACATAACCCTTTGGAGCAGGTTTTAGGGGTGCATTTTTTGGGGAAGCGGGGTGCTTGAATGAATGAATTTATTAATACGGTCACAGACCAGCGTCAACACACACAATATCACAGATCATAAAAAAAAATATCAGAAATACAGAGGACAATATGAATATAACAAGGATTTAAATATAAAAAATTAAAATTAATTATTAGCGGGGCCCCTGTAATTAACATTTGTGGGTTTGGTCATTATGGGATACCACTTGCTTCCTGCGATTAATTGCAGACGCACAGAATTTGGCTACATTTAATGTAGTCTTGGGATTCTTGTCCTCTAGCAGTAGTTTTAAACTATGGTGTTCCGATTCTTTCCTGGACTTTTGCAAAACAGGTGTAATAAAAGTCAAACGTATATCCTCATAAAGACGACAATGTAATAGTACATGTGAAGCAGTTTCAACTTCCAACGAGCCACAGGGGCAAACCCGTGCTGTGTATGGTTTACCCTCAAATCTGCCCTGAAGTAAGGCAGAAGGGAGAACGTTGAATCTGGCGAGGGTAAAAGACCGTCTGTATTTGGGTACCTGAAGACCTGACAGATAGTTAGCTGGAGAGAAACCTCTCCCATGGTCCCTTATTGCTGGATGTTTGATCATTTCGCTCATGTGGCCTTGTAATTCTACGTCCCAGATACGCTGGCGAAGCGGGGTGCTTTGATGCAGAAGAAAGAGTGATCCGGTCCTCATTCCACAGTCAGCTGACAGGCGCTATTGGATATAACCCAGAATTTAATTGTTGCTGTATAAAACTAAGTATGGGACGCAGGTGGCGCTGTGGGTTAAACCACAGAGCTTGGGACTTGCCGATCAGAAGGTCAGCGGTTCGAATCCCCGCAATGGGGTGAGCTCCCGTTGCTCGGTCCCAGCTCCTGCCAATCTAGCAGTTCGAAAGCACGTCAAAGTGCAAGTAGATAAATAGGTACCACTCCAGCGGGAAGGTAAATGGCGTTTCCGTGCGCTGCTCTGGTTTGCCAGAAGCGGCTTAGTCACGCTGGCCACATGACCCGGAAGCTGTACGCCGGCTCCCTCGGCCAATAAAGCGAGATGAGCGCAGAAACCCCAGAGTCATCCACGACTGGACCTAATGGTCAGTGGTCCCTTTACCTTTAAAACTAATTAAAATGACAATAAACAAATCATTCCACCTTTCCTCTAAGGTGCGAAAGGTGACATACCTAGCTTGTCCGCTCTCCATTTTATCCTCGCAACGACCCTGTGAGATAGGTGGAAAGATGCAGCTAATGGCACCCAAGGGGTTACCCAGTGAGCTTAATGGCGGAGTGAGGATCCGAACTCGGCTCCTAGTCCCCACACTCTGACTACTACACCACACTAGCTTATGGAAGCCTTACGAAGCTCTGTTCACCACCTTCGGAGGGTGATTGTGTTATTTAATGCAAATAATAATAATAATAATAATAATAATATGTTAATGTCGATGCTCCCTCCGAGTGGTCAATCGGCCCCAACTCACCACCTCTTTGCTCTTCGGAGCGGCGCCATCTCTGGCCAGGTGGCTCCTCACCAGGAGACAAGCGTCCCTCAGCCGGGGACTCAGCTCAAACCTGTCAAAGGAAACAGCTTTTGAGCTTCCATTGAGTTGGAAGGGACCCCCAGGGGTCATCCAGCCCAACCCCCCTGCAATGCAGGAATCTCAGCTGAAGCATCCGTGACAGATGGTTATCCATCATCTGCTTTGAAAACCTCCAAGGAAGGAGAGTCCACCACCTTCTGAGGGATATTTCTCGCAACGGTCATGTTTTATAATTCCCTACGCGATCGAAGTAGCTCTCCTATAGGAATTTTCGAAGCATAGGGCTGTCAGGAGCTCAGCCTACACTCGAGTAGGACCCTGGTAGAGACACATGCCCGACTGGCATGTTCTCTCCCTTCTGGTCGATTGTTTGGGAACTTCATAAGCCTTCTTCAGCCCGAACATCACAGCGACCGATGCCAACAGACATCGGCACCCTTAGGGATCCGCAGAGTTTGCCCATCATGCGTAACAGACCTCAGCAACTCAGCATTTTGGCTAATCTACTTTATTTACGGGATGCGGGTGGCGCTGCGGGTTAAACCACAGAGCCTAGGACTTGCCGATCAGAAGGTCAGCGACTCGAATCCCCGCGACGGGGTGAGCTCCCGTTGCTCGGTCCCTGCTCCTGCCAACCTAGCAGTTCGAAAGCATGTCAAAGTGCAAGTAGATAAATAGGTACCGCTCTGGCGGGAAGGTAAACGGCGTTTCCATGCGCTGCTCCGGTTCGCCAGAAGTGGCTTAGTCATGCTGGCCACATGACCCAGAAGCTGTACGCCGGCTCCCTCGGCCAATAAAGTGAGATG